ATTATGTATGTTATTCCCTCCTTAAACTAAATCCTATGAGAATAAGATTCACTCATTCCCTTTCACCTTCCCCCATTTCCCCTCCATTGTAAATGCCTTTTCTAGTCTGTTTCATGTGAGATAATTTACCCCATTCTACTCCCTTTCTCCTTCTGCCAGTATAATGCTCTCTCACCACTTAATTATTTTTTCCAGATATCACCCCTTCATCTTCAACTCACCCTGTGCCCTCTATCTATCTATACATACATATAATTTTTTTCCCTCCTGCTACCCTAATACTGACAAAGGATTTATAAGTTACAAATCTCATCTTTCCATTGAGGAATGTAAACAGTTCAACCTTAATAAGTCTCTTCTGATTTCTCTTTCCTGTTGACCTCTTCCATGTTTCAATTAAGTCTTGTATTTGAACAGCAAATTTTATATTCAGCTCTGGTCTTTTCCTCAGGAATGCTTGAAAGTACCCTATTTCATTGAATTACCACTTTTACACTGAAGGACTTTACTCAGTTTTGCTGAGTTGGTGATTCTTCGTTGTAGTCCTATCTCCTTTGCCCTCTGGAATATCATGCTCCATTCCCTCCAGTCCCTTAATGTAGAAGCTGCTAAACCTTGTGTTATCCTGATTGTGTTTCCACAATACTTGAATTATTGCTTTCTGGCTGCCTGCAATATTTTCCCCTTGACCTGGGAACTCTGGAATTTGTCTACAATACTCCTAGGAGTTTTCCTTTGGGGATCTTTTTCAGGAGGTTATCAGTGGATTCTTTCAATTTCTATTTTGCCCTCTGGTTCTAAAATGTCAGGGCAGTTTTCCTTGATAATTTCTTGAAAGATGAAGTCTTGGCTCTTTTTTTTCTCATGGCTTTCACATACTCAAGTAATTTTTAAGATCTCTCTGCTGGATCTATTTCCCAGGTCAGTTGATTTTCTAATGAGATATTTCACATTCTCTTCTATTTTTTTCATTCTTTTGGATTAGTGTTACAGTGCCTTGATTTCTCAAATTGTCACTAGCTTCCAATTGCTCCATTCTAATATTTAAGAAAGTATTTTCCTCAGTAAGCTTTTGGACTTCCTTTTCCATTTGGCCAATTTTGCTCTTCAGGGCATTCTTCTCCTTATTGGGTTTTTGGACCTCGCTGCCATTTGGGTTAGGCTATGTTTTAAGGTGTTATTTTCTTCAGTATTTTTTTTGGGTCTCCTTTAGCATCACTCTCAGTTTTTCCTCTACTTATCTTACTTGCTTCTCAAAATCCTTTTTGAGCTCTTTCATGGAGCTTTGGGTGTAGGAGCTTTGGCTTTGTTGTCTTCTTCTAGTTGTGTGTTGGTGATCTTTGATCACCAAAGTAAGGTAATATAGTCTGACTCTTTTTGTGCTGCTTGCTCATGATCCCAGCCAATTACTTGAGTTATAAACTCTTTGTTAAGGTAGGGGTCTGTTACCAGTGTGTGGAAAATGTACTCTCCCAAGCTTCAGGGGTTTTGTGCAGCTGTTTCCAGAGATACTTCCAGGGACCTGTAAATTTGCAGTTCTTCCAAGGTGCTATGATCAAGGGCGAGGTGTTTATCCCTTTCCTGGCCTGTGCTCTGCTCTAAGAGTGACCACAAGCACTCTTTTCTGTCTTGGAACTATGAGGAGGATTTTGTCTTCACAGCCACCACAAGCTCCACTACCAGCTCCACCATGCCAGTGCTCCTCCTCTCCCCAGGACCGCGACCCAGAACTGTGACCCAGATCCAAGCACTGGCAAAGCAAGAGAATCCTATACCAGCAGAGAGATCCCTGCAATCCCCCTCTGAGCAGGCACTCGATTCCCCCTTTTACTCTGCCATCTTGGCTCCACCCCCCTTATGGGGGACTCTTTGCTGGCACTAGATAGAGCTGGCACTGATTCCCAACTCTCTTGTCCATATGTAATTCTGGGTCACAGTACTAGGGAACAGAGAAGACTTGAGGGTTGGTCACAAGGGAGCAGAGGCCCTGGTTTTAATTCCAAGGCAAAGAGAATGCTAGCATTTGCAGCTGCAAAGGACCAGGGGCCCTTCTTGGCAAAAGACCAGAGAGCAATCCAGGAGAGCAGTGACCATACCTCTGCAAGGATCACACCAACTCGGAAGCGCCAGCAACTTGCAGAACCCCCAGAACTTGTTCTGAAAAAAGAGCAGCATAAAAAATGCCTGAAGCTCAGCACAGGTGAGCAGAGCCCAACTTTATCATAAAGTTACAAGTCAAGAAATAGGCTGGTGCTGCTGCTACACGTGTGGGCTCTGGACAGGTTTCCACCCCAGTGTTACAAACTTCTCTTGCTGACCTCCTACTTTTGCTTATGCCACAAAAAATGTCTTACCCTGACCTTTTATTAGCTCTGCTGCTCCAGAACTTTACTTGAAGTGTTATTTTAAAGTTATTTGGAGGGGAATTTTGAGAGTTAGAGTGGGTTGCCTCCAATTTGCCGTCTTGGCTCCCAGGATATACAGAGTTGACAATTATAACTGTGAATGTGAATGAATTCAGCAATAAAATGAAAGAGGACAGCAGAATGGATTAAAAGCCAGAATCCAACAATATGTTGTTTCAAGAAACATACTTGAAATGGAAAGATACAAACAGAGTTAAAATAAGAAGCTAGTGCAGAATCTATTATTCTTCTGCTGAAGTAATGGTTAGGTAACAATCATGATCTCAGCAAAGTAAAAGCAAAAATAGACCTAATTAAAAGGGATAAACGGGGAAATTATATTTTCCTGAAAGATGCCATAGATTATGAATGTATATCAATACTAAGTATATATGCACCAAGTGGCATAACATCTACATTCTTAAAGGAAAAATTAAATTATATTAGAGAGAAATAGAGATTAAAATTATAATTGTGGGAGACCTTAATTTACCCCCTCTCAGGCCTCCATAAATCAAACCAAGAAACAAACAAACAAACAAAAAAGAAATGAAAGGCCCGAATAGGATTCTGGAGAAGTTCAATATGACAGCTTTCTAGAGACTACTTAACGAGAATTGAAAGGACTCTATCTATCTCAGTTGTGCACTGCACATCACAACAATTAACCATGTGCTAAAGAATAAAAACCTCACAAACAAATGCAGAAAAATTATATGCAGCTTTTACTGACCACGATGCAATCAACAAAGATGCAGGATATAAAATAAACTCATGGAAATCATCAGCATTTCTGCATATTACCAACAAAAGTTATGGGCAGTTTTGTTACTTTTTTCCTCCATGATTCCATATTTGTATCTAGGATAAATGCACCAGTTTACAACTTTACCAATAGTCTGTCTTCCTGAAGCTTTTCCAACATTGACTTTTCCCCTTTTTTTGTAACCTCTCTCAATTGGCATTATGTAAACTGAAACCTCAGAGTTGTTTTAATTTTAATTTTTCTCACTTCTGGTGGCTTAGAGCATGTTTTTCTGTGGTAATTTATAGTTGGCAATTCTTCTTTGGAAAACTCTTCCTATACTTTGAGCAACTTACAGACAATTACTATCCCCATCTTCCACATGAGGTGTTTGGGTTCAGAGAGATTAAGTGTCTTGCCCATGGTCACAGAGCTACAGTGTCTAAGGTACATAGGTTTAATCTGATGCCAAGTCTAACGCTTCCCACTACACCAAACTGCATCTAATTTTTAAAAACAGTCTTTTACTTGGAAAGTTATCAAAGTGAAATTTTTCCATGTTTCCCTTCATCCATGTGCCTATCAGTCCCCTTACAGGTTCTTAAAAGTTAGTCAGGGATGACTTCTTCCCTCCTTCCCTCCACTAGGTACTGTTTGCTTTAGTGTTCAAAAACCAGAATTAGAATGCCATTTCCCCTTGCCCTCTGTTCACTTTAAGCCTTATTTTTCTAGAATTCCTGCTTCCTTGCCCTTACCCTCCTGCTGCACACAAAATATGTCTCTTTTCAGCTCTAGCACATTACAATTCTAACACTCAGTCTCAATTCCTTCCCGGAATCTAGAGGTGCCAGACTCAATCTAAAGATGTTGGAATTCTGGGCTCCAAGCCAGGGCCCCAAGCCTCAGGATCTGTTTACTAATTGAGATACTTCCTCCCAGGAGACCACAGGTCCAGAAATCCAAAGGGCACTGAAATATTCTTAGGAAGTCTCCCTGGAATCAAGGTAGCTAGCACCTGAACCTCTGTCCCCTGAGAGAGGAGGGAACAAAGTCTGTGTTTGTGCTGGGCCTTAAGGGAAGAACAGCTCTTGCCTCAGTAGCTTTCTTTGCTCTGCTGAAGACAAAGTTAATTGGGACTGAGACTGGGAACCCTTGAGGCTAAACTGGCTGAGCCAGACCTTGAAGATGGGATGTTGAGGTCAAGGTACAGTGTGTCCAACTGTGGCTGATCAGAACAATATGAGCTCAGAAGTTTCTACCACAGGTTGGGCACCAATAGTCCACTTGAACTTTTGGAGTGAAGATGTGTCTAAATTTGGGCATCTCACATTTCTTTTGAGCTACTACAATTCTGCCTTGCCCATAGAGCACAGCGCCTTGTTTGATGCAGGCATGCTATGCTGCGTGGTCCTGTGCCAGTGTTTCCCATGTCTCACAAGCAATTCTGAAGTTCCTCAGAGAGACCTTGAGAGTGTGCTTGTATTGCCTCTTCTGGCCTCCATGTGAGCATTTGCTGTGTGTGTGTGTTCTCCATAAAATAATCTTTTAAAGAAATGTATGTTTGGCATTCAAACAATGTGGCCAGCCCATCAGTTGCGTTCTGTGCAACAGTTTGAATGCTCGGCAGTTTCGTTTCAGAAAGGACCTCAGTGTCTGATATCTTATCCTGCCAGGTGATCTTCAGAATCTTCCCAAGACAGTTCAAGTGGAAGTGATTCAGTTTCCTGGCATGGTGCCGGTAGACTGTCCAGGTTTCACAAGCATACAGCAATGAAGTCAGCACAATGACTGTGTAGACCTTCAGTATGGTAGTCAGTCTAATACCTCTCCTCTCTCACACTTTCCTTCAGAGCCTCCCAAATACTGAGCTAGCTTTGGCAATGTGTGTGTCAATCTTATCATCTATGAGGACAACCCTGGAAAGTATACTGCCAAGGTCAGTATCCACAGCATTCAAAATTTCTCCATTTGCTGTAAGTGATTGTTCCACATATGAATAGTGCAGTGCTGGCTGGTGGAGAACCTCTATTTTATTGGTATTAATTGTTAGGCCCAAATGAGCACAAGTAGCAGAATATTGATCCATGCTCTGCTGCATCTCAGCCTCAGAGGCTGCATTAAGTGCACAATCATCTTCAGGAGAAAAAAAAAGTCACACACCAACTCTGCCTCCACTTGAGTCTTCACAAGCCCTTGTGACAAAGGCCTTGGTTAGATCTACTAATGTTGTGTAGAGACCTTGTTCTGCTCCCAGCAATTATCATGGAGTTGTGGGGCAGCAGACACCACATTGACTGTTCCTCATCCCTTTCTGAAGCCACACTGGCTCTCAGGTAGATGCCCATCCTCTAAGTGAAGGATCAGTTTCTTCAGGAGGACTTTGGTAAGAATCTTGTTGGCAATGACTAAAAGAGAGAGACCTCTGACGCTGCTATGATTGTCACAAGAAAGCTTATTTCCTTTTCTATTATAGAGATGGACAATGGAGGCATCCTTGAACTCCTGAAGGATAACTCCCTCTTGCCATATAACCTGGAAGATTTCAGTCAGCTTTTGTATGAGCAGTGGATGCCCTGCCTTGTAAATCTTGGCTGGAATAGAATCAGCACCAGCTGCTTTGCACAGGAGAGGAGCCTAATGGCATTCAAAAATTCTTCTTGAAGGCAACTGTTAGTTATCAATGAATCCCAGTGATGTGGGAGAGGAGGTTGTTGTTTCATCATGTCAGTCATGTCTGACTCTGTTGCCCCATTTGGGGTTTTTTGGCAGAGATACTAGTGTGGTTTGCCATTTCCTTCTCTAGCTCATTTGACAGAGGAGGAAACTGAGGCAAACAGGGCTAAAAGCCTTGCCTAGGGTCGCATAGCTAGTAAGTGTCTGAGGCCAGATTTGAACTCATGAAGAGGTCTTCCTGATTGTAAGCCCAGTGCACTCTCCACTGCACCACCAGCTGACCCTGGGGAGGAGGGGTGAGAATAATTGAAAATGCCAAATAACCTAAGCAGAAAATCTAGGATTTAGGGCAAGAAAAGACCTTTGAGGTCATCTAATCCAACTCCCTCTTTTTACCAAGAAGGAAACAAGCCAAGAGAGTGACATTGCCCAAGGCAACATAGGTAAGTAACTAAAGCAAGGATCTGAACCCAGGTCTTCTAAAAGTTATGTTCTTTCCACTGTTCTCAGCTTCCTCCTTTCTATTTGGCTTTGGAAGATGTGTCATATTTGGGTTAAAACCAAGTCAAATCAACAAGTATTGAATCATCCATTCATTTATGATTTCCTAGACAGTGAATCTGCATGGGATTTTATTTTAGTTTAGTTTTTAATTTGTTACTTATTTATTTTTAGTACATTTTTTTAAATTTTGAGCTCTGAATCCTCATCCTTCTTCTCACCCTTCCCCAACCCACTGAGAAGGCAAGAAAAGTGACATTAGTTATACACGTCAAATCATGCAAAACATTTTCATGTTAAGGTATTTTGCAAAAAAAAAAAAGGCAAGAAAAATGAAATGAAAAAATATGCTCCAATTTGCAATCTTTTCTTTCTGGAGGTGGATAGCATTTTTCATTATGAGCCTTTTGGATTTATTGTAGACCATTGTATTGATCAGAGTAGCTAACTCTTTCACAGTTGATCACTGTTACTATTACTATGTACAATGTACAAATATTACTGTTACTATGTACAATGTTCTCCTGGTTCGCTTCACTTTGCATGAGTTCATATAAGACTTCCCAGGTTTTTATGAAACCATCTTGCTTGTTATTTCTTATAGCACAATTGTATTCCATCACAACCATATGCCACAATTTGTTCAGTCATTCCAAAATTGATGGACTTCCTTCAGTTTCCAATTCTTTGCCACCACACACACACAAAAGATCTGTTATGAATATTTTTGTGCATATGGGTCCTTTTCTTTCTTTTTTATCTTTGGGGTATACACCTGATAGTGATATTGCTGGGTCAAAGGGTATGCACAGTTTTATAGCCCTTTGGGCACAATTCCAAATTGTTCTCCAGAATAGTTGGATCAGTTCACAATTCCTACGTTCACTACATTGTGTCCCAATTTTCCCACATCCCCTCTAACACTTGTCATTTTCCTTTTCTCTCATATTAACCAATCTAGGTGTGAGGTAGTATTTCAGAGTTGTTTTAATTTCTGTAATCAATAGTAATTTGGAACATTTTACAGTGTGACCATAGATAACTTTGATTTCTTTCTCTTAAAACTATCTGTTCACATCCTTTGACCATTGATCAACTGGAGAACGACACCTATTCTTATAAATTTTATTCAATGCTCTATATATTTTAGAAAGGAGGTCTTTATCAGAGAAACTTGTAAAATCCCTCCCTCCCCAGTTTCCTGTTTTCTTTCTAATCTTGGTTGCATTGGTTTTGTTTGTGCAAAACCTTTTTAATTTAATGTTATCAAAATTACCCATTTTACCTCCCGTATTAGTCTCTCTTGTTTGGTCATAAATTCTTCCCTTCTCCATAGATCTGACAGGTGAAATTGTCTTTGCTCTTTTAATTTACTTACAATATTATTCTTTATGTCTAAATTTTGACTTTAGTCAAAGACTCTGGTCTATACCTAGCTTCGGCCAAAATGCTTCCCAGTTTTCTTTGTAATCTGTGTCAAATAATGAGTTCTTGTCTTAAAAGCTTGGATCTTTGGGTTTCTCAAACAGTAGATTATTAGGGTCATTTACCAGTGTGTATTACTTACCTAATCTACTTCACTGATCCACTACTCTATTTCTTAGCCAGTACCAGATTGTTTTAATGATTGCCACTTTGTAATGCAGTTTGAGATCTGGTACTACCAGGCCACCTTCCTTTACATTCTTTTCCCATTGATTTCCCATTGATCTTCTTGACCTTTTGCTCTTCCAGATGAATTGTTATTATTTTTTTCTAGCTCTATAAAATAATCTTTGGTAATTTGATTGATATGGCACTCAGTAAGTAAATTAACTTAGGTGGAATTGTCATTTTTATTACACTGGCTCAGCCTACGCATGAGCAATTATTATTTCTCCAGTTGTTTAGCTCTGGTCTTATTTGTGTGAAAAATGTTTTGTAATTGCATTCCTATAGTTCTTGGGTGTGTATCAGCAGATGGACTCCCAAGCATTTTCTATTGTGTGCAGCTTCTTAAAAGGGAATTTAACTCTCTACCTCTTCCTGCTGGGTTTTGTTGGTAACATATAGAAATGCTAATGATTTATGTGAGTTTATTTTATATCCAGAAACTCTGTAAACATTGTTTCAATGAGTTTTTTAGGTGATCTAGGATTCTCTAAGTATACCATCATATACTCTGCAGAGTGATACTTTTGTTTCTTCATTGCTCATTCTAATTCCTTCAATATCATGTTCTTGTCTTATTACTACAGCAAGTATTTCTGGTACAACAGTGAATGATAGTGATGACAAAAGGCATCCTTGCTCCTAATCTTATTGGAAAGGCATCTAGCTTATCTCCACTACAGGGAAGGCTTGCTCTTGGTTACTCTTCTACTTTCTAGTGTTTTTTAATAGGCATGAGTTTATTTTATCAAAAGTTTTCCTGCATTTATTGAGATAAAAGTATTTGATTTTTTTGTTTTGAGATGGAAGTTTTCCTAATATCGAATCTGCCCTGCATTCCTGGTATAAATCTCACCAGATTGTAGTGTATGACCTTTGTGATATATTGCTGTAATTTCCTTACAAGCATTTTATTTAAAATTTTTGCATCAATATTCATTAGGAAAATCGGTCAATAGTTTTCTTTCCCTATTTTTGCTCTTCCTGGTTTAGGTATTAGTATCATATTTGTGTCATTAAAACAATTTGGTAGGACTCCTTCTTTGCTTATTTTTTAAAATAGTTTATTTAGTACTGGTATTAACTGTTCTCTAAATGCTTGTTAGAATTCACTTGTGAATCCATCTAGTGATTTTTTTCCTTAGAGAGCTTATTGATGACTTGTTCAATTTCTTTTTCCAATATAGGGTTATTTAAGTATCTATTTCCTCTTTTGTTAATCTGGATGATTTATATTTTTGTAAGTATTTATCCATTTCACTTAGATTGTCAGATGTATTGCCATATAATTAGGCAAAACAGCTCCTAATAATTACTTTAGTTTCATCTTCATGGTGGTGCATTCAACCTTTTCATTTTTGATACTAGTTTTCTTCTTTCCTTTCAAAAATCAAATTAAACAATGGTTTATCTATTTCCCCCTCACATTCAGCTCCTAGTTGTATTTATTAGTTCAATTTTTTAACTTTCAATTTTATTTATCTCTTCTTTGACTTCCAGGATTTCCATTTTGGTATTCAATTAGAGATTTTAAATTTGTTCTCTTTCTAGTTTGTTTAAATTGCTTGCCCAATTCATCGCTCTTTCTCTGTTTTATCTGACCTCTTCTTTCTCTATTTTATTGATGTATGAGTTTAGAGATGGAAATTTTTCCTTAAGCATGGCTTTGGCTGCATCCTGCAAATTTTGGAATGTTGTTTTATTGTGTCATTCTCTTTAATGAAATTGTTTATTATTTCTTTGTTCTTTGACTCATTCATTCTTTAGGATTAGATTATTTGGCTTCCAATTAATTTTAATCTGCTTCCATGACCCTTG